CGCATTTCATTCACTACCGACTGAGCAATACGGCCACGACGTAAATGCAATTATCGTATGCCTCAAGGCGGTGGATTATAACATCATATACTGCATCTTGCAAAATACAATATACCTGTTAATATTGGGCGCAGAAACTGTAAAAAAACACCCGTTTTCTGTGATTTTTTGAAGTTTCCTTGGCTCAAGAAGATTCGTTGAGCCTCCAGACCATGTTCAATTGATCTAGCGACTTCAACTACATAGGATCCGATTGTAATCTCGAAATTTCTTTCCACGACCAAAATCGAGACAAATCAACATGGATTATCTTTAGGGTCAAAATCAAAAGTTCGCCAATCGGGCCGAAACCAAGCAAACCCGCTTGAAAATGACCCGCTACATGCGATTTTCCAGTCAAAAAGCTTCACGAGTTCGCTGCTTGGCGCTATTCGCAGTAAACGCCTGGCAGAAATTGGTCAAAAACACTTGTCTTCGGTGAGTTTTTGACTGTTTCTAGGCTCAAGAAGTTTCGCCGAGCATCGGGATTTAGGAAACAATTTCGAATGCCTTCAACTACATAGGATCTGACTCTAATCTCCCATTGATCAGCCAGTTAGCTACAAGATGTGAGATTGCTGCCCGATATGTTCTGTTCTTAACACTTTTCTTTTATTGGGGCAAAATAATACGACGGAGATAATGTTTATCATTCTGATCGAGTTGAAATTCAGGCATAACTATCGTCGGTTGAAACAGATGGAACAATTACAGGGATATTATAGGAAAAATACGGAACAAAGACTAACATACAAATACATATTTTTATCCTTGGTTACGATTTTTTTTGTGAATGTTTCATCTTCGTATCAGAGGGGTTAAGGAATTCTGACTTATTGACCTCAATTTCCAAAAATAAAGAGTGTGGGTAAGTAAGGTTGTACGTTACGGAACATTTGGTTTTCCATATCGATCGAAGTATCTGATTGATTCATCGAAGCGAAAATTTCAATTCAGAGGAGCGAAAACTTGATTGCTTTAATCGAACTTTCTCTGTCAGTTTGGTTCGATCAAAAAGTTCGATCATACGTCCGATTTTGTGTATTGAAATCTTACCTCGAAAAATGGACTAGTTTGATTGGTATGGAGGGTGATGGCAAACTGCCACCCGGGTCAGAAATTTAGGGAAAATGCCATGAAAACTGCCACCCGTGTAAATTTGACAAATGCCTCCCGTGCGGACAAGTGCCACCGGCATGAATTTCGGCCGCAGCAAATTATGAATCTTTACGATTTCATAAAAAGAATTTCTTTCAAATTCAGTAAAAAATAGAAAAATTGATGAGAGTAACAAAAAATAAAACAAAGAAAAAAACTTCTAAAGGTAAAAAAAACTTCCAAACGTAAAACTAATTCTAGGAAAACTGACAGTGACATGTAAAAAATTGCTTGTTTTTAATTTCAAAAACTTTAAATAAAAAAGGGGAGATTATGTTTCTTTACGATTTTAAAATTTTAAACTTTGACGAGGTTTTACTCAAACCAAAACGCCCGTTTGAAAATGATCGCTCATTTCTTATTTGATTTTCTGAAAATGATTTTTATCTAGTAAGCTTTTCAACAGACAGTCCTCAGCCCGTTTAAGTGTGCAATCCCGAACCGCGCGGCCGCGAGACGCGTCAGTCCAGTGGTAGTTGTCATATTTGCAAGGGTGGCAGTTTTCATGACGGGTGGCAGTTATCCGTAATTCTAGGAAACGGGTGGCAGTTTGCCGAATCCCGGTATGGAACACAGAACGTTGGACTCATTCAATCGATTTTTTTTTGTGTATGAAAATATTGCTAATTTTTGGCGGGAGATCTAGTGTGTGCAAAAAGACGCAAGAGCCCCGCATTCAGGCATAGGTAAATACGTATAAGTAAATCAACACCGAAAAAAAAAGAAGTCAAACAAATAGGTCTGTGACAACTCTCGGATGTTGTTATTAACACTCTGGTGTTAAAGTAACATCCTAGGATGTAAAAGTAACATCCTAGGATGTTAACACGGTGTTATGGCAACATCCAAGAGTTTTAACAAATTGTTTTAACATCTGTGGTGTTACCACAGCACCTTTTTTTTCGATGAAACTGCTGTCTGCGGAGACTTGTCACGTATACCCTGAGGTTCATAAAAATCCTTAGATTTTGAAAATTAGACGATTCTAATGGAATTGGCAAGGTGAGAGGGGGTGCACGGACTATTCCACGCCCTTCGCATCATAATTACAAAGAAACAACAACGTTTTTGAATAACGATTTCTTATTATTCAAAATTCGTATTTTTTTACAATAAACTTAACAGAGTAAAAAATTGCATAGAACAAACACATTACCAAAAATAATTCGTGATCGAACAAGGTACAACATAAAAAAGTATCTGTAATCTTTACAATACTGTTTATTTACAAAAACACTCAAATGACTATGATGATATGAAAAATAAATTACCTAGAGTAGATTAATGAATACATAGGAAAATTTAAAATGGTAGACTGGTGTAAAGATATAGAAAAAGTCTCTGAGATTGGCAATTCCTCTGAGAAAATTCAAAAGCTTGTGAGATTCCGCCGTCTCAAGATAGGGTCCAATCATCAACTGAACCTTAGAACAAAATACTCAACCACAACAAATGATAAGTTGAATTTTTATAAGAGGATAAAAAAAGTGTAACAAGAAAGAAAAAAAATATTTTGACCATTTACATCAAAAAAGGGACAGTTAAAACGCGTTCTAGTAAAATTCAGAATTTTCAGAAAATTATTTGATAGGAACCCTTAGAAATCGCCTTAACGAGAATGGACACTTTTTCACAAAAAATTATGGAACAATTGCATGATATTATTCACTCTTGCTGAACCGCATACGCAAAGGAAAAAAATAAATTTCCAATTGCAGGTTTGAGTGAATATCCAGAAAATTTTACGGCCCAGTATTTAGGCGGTATGCACCTATTTCAATAACAATACATCGGCCTTTAAAATTTCCTCATGAAAAAAGTTGAGTATGTGTAGGTAATTTGACTTTAACACACCTATCTATCTCATGAAAATAATCTCCTCAAGTATGGGCTTATACATGTGATAAGACAAAATGGACCGCGTTTAACAGAAAGGAGCCAAGCCACATCAGCTATTGCCAAATTTAATCGGGCAATCTAAGCTTTTACGAGAGAACGTGTGTATGGATTCTTTTGAATATTTTGAGGAATTTGCTTCGTACTACGGAGAAAATCCACTGAAATTTGCACGAAAATCCGCACAACTGTTTTCATGTAAAAAATTCAATTGCCCAATTAAATTCGGCAATAGCTGATGTAGCTTGGCTCCTTCCTGTTTAACGCGGCCCAAATAACGAGGAAAGACAAGCCCAGCAATCTTACTTACTGCACGGTTTCTTGAGCAAAGCCCTGAGCTCTCAACTAAAGTACTGGAAGAAGTATCAGGAAATGATGCAACTTTTGTCATCCTGCTTCTTCTTGAGCGGGGAGATGGGCGAATTCGCCATGGACTGCTGCCTCTTGGCGCAGGCCAGAGTGTCGTTGGGCACGTAGGAAATCCGCACTCCTCCATAGGCACGTCGCTGGGGCAGCTGGTAAACCGTCAGGTCATCACTACTCGAACTAGAGGAACAAGTCGAACAGTAGCTATCCGAATCGTATTCCCGCTCTTCCCGATGACGAGACCGTCTATCAGGGTCGAAATCCCGTTCTTCCCGATGACGAGACCGTCTATCAGGGTCGAAATCTCGCTCTTCCCGATGACGAGACCGTCTATCAGGGTCGAAATCCCGTTCTTCCCGATGACGAGACCGTCTATCAGGGTCGAAATCCCGTTCTTCCCGATGACGAGACCGTCTATCAGGGTCGAAATCCCGCTCGTCCCGATGACGAGATCGTCTGCTCGGAATCTGATCGATGGAGTCGTCGCTCTTGGCACCTTGAAACCTCACGCTCAAGTTCCCTTTATTTTTCTTCTGCGGAGAATTCCCCGACTGAGCGGCCAGATCCGGCATCGAGAAAGCGAGTTTGTTCGCCGGCTTGGAGTCCGTCAGTTGAGGTTTCCACGAGTCCAAGCTCAGACTCAGATCGGCCAGTTGTAGGTCTTTACCGAGTGGAGCGTTGCTCCCGGTTATCAGTCGAGCGATGAGCTCGGACTGCATGCTGTGGGTGCTCTGTTGGAACAGCAGTCGTTGCAGCTCGCTACGCACGGAGTTGGCTCCGCTCTCCGCGATGAGCTTCTCCAGCTCTGCTTGCAGTCGTAACGAAATGCCGTTGTCGAGGAATAGTTTGTCTAGGGGGCTGGAGTCGGAGCGGTTGACTAGGAGGTGTTCCACCTGCGACTGGAGACTCACGTTCCCGGCGCACTCTCGAAGGATCCGGTCGATGTCCAGGTTGCAGGAACCGGATTCTTGGCTACTCGTGCCGCTAGGGGTTGGTTTTTCAGTGATTAGTTTCTCTAGGTTCCGCTCGAGGAGGACTCGGTCCAGGCCTTTGGAAGGGGTGCTGGGTAGCGGTGGGAGGCCTCGCACGACGTTCGGGGATGGCGGAGTGGGGGAACTTGGTCCTGATGAGGTCCGCTGAAGCGCTCGCCGTCCCATCTTTGGTGATCGCACTGGAGGTAGATTCTGGGATATTTGAAGGGAGCTACTGCTTTGGGTTGCTTTCAGGGAATTTGGTCTGAAACGGAAAATGAAATCTCCGTTAGAGCTCAGTATATAATTTAAAATATTCACACTTCTATGCTGCCGTGCTGAGGAAAAGCACCGTACACTGAAAAAAAAAAGTAGCATGATGATTCTTGAATTTGCCGCCAAGAATTTTTTTTTCTTGCTTTAAGCTGACTTTTTCTTGATACAAGAAAAATAATGCTTGGGTTAAGCAAAAAAGTAGCTTGTAACAACCAGAAAAATTCTTGATTTAAGAAGGGATACTTCTTGGCGGCAAATTTAAGATTCTTTTTTTTCCAGTGTATGAACCTTCAGGCGTCGCAAAATTTCCATATATAAACACGAATTACCTGGTGAAATTGTAAATATTTTTCCTCCAATTTTTCAGGCAATGTTGTTTGCAATTTCACCTAAAGAAAATTTCGAGGAAAAATATTCATACCTTTCCTCCAAAATAAACATTTTATCGAAGGAAATTTGGCAACTCTCAAAATGTTCATGTGGCGTTCATCTATAGCACGGCAGTATTCTTCAGGTTCAGATTAATTCATTTTTAAAATGAGAGCAAATTCTAAAGAAAATATAATTTTTATAAATATATTGTAAATTAAGTTCGAATTTTCCAGCTCATAAATTAAAAATCAGGATCGCAGCTGGCAAAGGGCGTTGCCTCTAACAGAGAGTTGCACTTTAAAAATTTTCCGTCCGTTTACAGCCAAAAGTGACTTTTTTCAAGATGGCGAAATTACCTATTTATGAGATTAACAGACTCTACTAGACTTTCAACTTTGGAGCACAAAAACCGATTTTGTAACAATCAAGGATTGCTAGCCCTCTCTGAAAAAATGTCAGTTAACCCACAAAAAATTTAACCCCCCTCTTTCAAAATCTTGGCAATGAACATAAAATTTTTGTTGAAAAGATTGGTTTTTGGAACAGCTCGATAGTGGAACTACACGGACGCTCAGCGCGGTCAGCGACTTTGAAAATTGTCTTTCCTACTCCACGATTAAGAGAAACGCTCAGTTATTATCAAAGCACACAATTTCTACAGATTTATCTGTATCCTTTCATAAATGGACGGAGTTAAACAGAAAGGAACCAAGCCACATCGGGACCGAACCGAGACAAAGAGGTTTAAAGTTTGACTCCTGCATAAGACTCAATGTAAAAGATAAACTTCAAGTTCGATTTCTGCAAAATTTGCTCCAACAAAAACTTTGAACTTTTGGCGATAGATAGTAGAGCAGTGGTTGAGTTCAAAACCACTCATAACTCAATTTTTTCCATAATGTGGGTTGGTTCCTTTCTGCTTAACCCAGTCCAAATATTCTCTGGGAGTTCTTCTTAAAATATTCTTTGAGAGGCCAAAATGTCTGGAAATTTAATTAAGAGCATTTTTTCTTCTTTCAAGACTCAAAGGTTTTTTTTTTTTTTTTTTTTTTTTTTTTTTTTTTTTTTTTTTTTTTTTTTTTTTTTTTTTTTTTTTTACTACTTCAAATAGCCCTTAAGGGCTAATCCCACGTTTTAAGTCCCATCCCCCCTCCGTCCCTACTGAGCCAGTCCCAGGCAACGATTGTTTGAGACCATCAAACTCGGGTCGCCGGGCCGGGAATTGAACCCGGGACCTCCCGATCATAGAGCAAGCGCTACAACCACTACATCATAGGAGGCCGACAAAGTTATAGCCAGTAGATTACTCACTTGTTCTTGGTGTGAACGATTCCATTGGGCAGGTGATTGCTATGGGCAGGTGGTGTGGAGTGGAGCGACTCTGAAGAGGGGGCGGGCGAGGGGAGGGTGGGGGTGCGGCGATTGCGAGCGGGGGAGGTGGAGGGAGTGGAGGAGGCCTCGGAGCGGGGCCGGGAGTGGAGGTGATTGCGGGAGGGGGAGGGTGGTGCGGCCTGAGGATCGTGGGTGAGGGTGTTGGTATGAGTGTGGATGTGGTTGTGGGCGGGGTTGGGGGTGCCCCCGTTGGGGAGTCCCGGACCGGGGGGACCGGGGGGGTGGCCGGAGCTGTCCGAGGGCGTGGGTGGCTCCCCTTTGCTGCACCCGATTGAGCAGTAGATGGCGCCTCGCCGCGGGAGGAACGGCCGACCCAGGAGCGCCGCCCGGCACGTGTGACAGCAGAAGCATTGCTCCGTCGCGTGCCAGTGTTGTCCTTCGTGGCTCATTTGACCTGCGACACGGAAAATTTCGTCATTAATGTAAGAAGATTTCCCAAGAAGAAGAAGAAGAAGAAGAAGAAGAGGGAGAGAGGAAGAAGAAGAAGAAAGGAAGAAGAGAGGAAGAAGAAGAGGAAAAAGAAGAGGAAAAAGAAGGAAGAAGAGTAAGATAAGGAAGAAGAGGAAGAAGAAGGACAAAGAGAAGAAGGAGGACTTGCGACACGGAAAATTTCATCATTAATGTAAGAAGATTTCCGAAGAAGAAGAAGAAGAAGAAGAAGAAGAGAGGCAGAAGAAGAAGAAGAAGAAGGAGAAGAAGGAGAAGAAGAAGGAGAGAGGAAGAAGAACAGAGGAAGAAGAAGAAGAAGGAGAGAGGAAGAAGAAGGAAGAAGAGTAAGATAAGGAAGAAGAGGAAGAAGAAGGAGAAGACAAAAAGAAAAAGTAGGAAAAGAAGAGGTACAGGAATGCAAAGAGAGAAAAGAGGGTGAAGAAGAAGTTATGAATTAGGAGTAGGAAAAGGAGGTAGGACGAGGTAGTAGATGAAGGAAATAGAAGAAGTGAAGGAAAATGGAAAACGAGGATGGCAAATTAGAAGAGGCAAAAGGGAAGGGAAAACATGAGAGACGTTGAAACCGCTAATATAGCAATTTAGGTCACGTTCGTCGTCTGGGATTTGGGAATTTTGAAAACTTGACTGAAAATTCGAGTTTCCCGTGCGAAAATATTATCTTCCACCAAGTTACACAGAAATCGATTGGAGGAGCCGAGATAGCATTGACCTACCAAAGCTACAAAATGGCAAAAATTCACCCGAAACTTCACGAAAAAAAATTTGATGAGTTTCCTTGTAAAAAATAATACTCAGAAAGTAATTCTGAAACGTTGGAGCAAATGTTTGTCTTTGCAGTAATTACATATGTCCGAGTGTTGTGGTTCTGATTGGTTACAAAGCTCGGGAACCGATCGTAACAGAGTCGGTTTGAGTTTAGTTAGGCCACGCAACTAAACTAACATCCCGGTAAAGCTGGAAGTATCACTCGAATTGAAGGCGCCCCAATCCTCAATTTGTACACACTATTTCTACAACTTCGATCAATAGAACTTTCTACGCTAAGTCTGGTGCCTACTAAGTGACAAAAATTCACTAAAAACTTCGACAAAAAAAATTGATGGGTTTTTTGGGAAGAACTAATGCATGAAAAGTAATTCCGGAACGTCTACACAAGGTAGTGTTACAGTTCTGAGCGGTCTTAAAGCTCGGGAATCAATCGCAACAGAGTCAGATTGGGTTAAGTTAGGTCACGCAACTAAACAAACTTCCCGGATATGCTGGAAGTATCACTCGAATTGAAGGCGCCCCAATCCTCAATTTGTACTCACTATTTCTGCAACTTCAATCGATGGTTCGCTTTTGCTGACAAGGACCCAGGCAAAATTGAAATGGAAAGAAGAAGGACGGATAAAAGAGAGAGGGGGGAAGAGAGAAAGAGAGAGCGAACATTCGTGCACCCTCAAAGTGACAAGATCTGGGACCATGAAATTTTGTCATCCTGGTCAGCATTCGATGATTCGAACCCGGGACCTCTGAGTTAGCAGTCAGTTCTGCCGTGTTAAGCAAAAACGCCGTATGAGCATTCAAATTTTACCTTTTCTCTTAGAAAATATTTATTTTTGAAGAAAGTTATGAATATTTTCCTTGAAATATCCAAAATTTCCGGATCAAATTACGAACAAAATTCTCTGAAAAATTGAAATCGAAATATTTACGAATCATCCCGAAAATTTATGATTTATCGAAGGAGAGTTGGCAATGCCTGATGGCTCATGAGGCGTTTTTACTTAGCACGGCAGTACTGCGCTAACTACTGAATCAACCGAGATCTGCCAGGGTCTCTAATTGTCTCCGGCAAAAATTGACCGCGTTAAGCAGAAAGGAACCAAGTTTTAGAATCTTTTCTTCTTCTGCGTTTAGTAAGATTTAAGCTTTGTGTAAGTAGACATCTAGAATGAAAAATTAATAAGCCAGCTCTTAACCACAGTTTTAAAGAGTTGTGTTTAACCTTTTTTTTCTACTGTGGCAGAAAGTGCAGTAAATTTAAGATTTATAAAAAAGATTCCAATTCTTCTTTAGAAATAGGAATGTGAAGAAATGTAAGATTTCAAAATAGTGCTAGTTTTACAAAAAAGCAAATAACATTTTTTTTATGATTTTTCGTTTTTGACTACCTATTTCAATGATTTTGGTTATTGCCAAATTTATAATTAATTATTGGCAATTTAATTTTTTACCTGAAAACGGTCGTGCGGATTTTTGTGCAAATTCCAGTGAACTTTCTGCGCAGTACAATGCAAATTCCTTGACATTTTCAAAGGAATCCGCACAAACGTTCTCTTTCCAAAAATTAAATTGGCCGATTAAATTTGGCATTAGCTGATGTGCCTCGATTGTTTCCCGCTAATCGCGGTCCAAATTGGACTGCATTTTACAATTTGGACCTGTAAATTCTGGCTCATCTGAAAAAACACTTATGTGCATAGGGAAACTAATGGCACATACGTTGTTTTTAATCCGGGCCAGAATTTACAGGTCCAAATTGCAAAATGCAGTCCAATTACAGTATAAGGATAAGTAGTAGGTAGAGTACCTGTATAGGGAGAGTACCGACAGATCTGCAACTCCGAAAGTCCATCAGGCCTTCACCGATGCCTCCGCGAATAAAGTTAGGGCCCAAAAGGGCAGCCAACCTATGAATTTCAATTATCCAGAGCGATTTACCGATACTATTGTCACGAACCGTCCTTTATTAAGCACGTGTTTGACTCAGTTTTTGCATAAATTTACTCAATTTCGCGGATGAACGCTCATTTCTGTGCATTCTCGGCCATCTTGGTTAGAATTGGAATCTGCAGACTGGCAGTGAAATTTTGTGCGTTAGAAGTTGGTTAGAAGGGTGGCTGCACTTTTGGGCCCTAAGCCCTCCATGAACCGATCCGTCGGTAGTCTTCCTATACAGGTACTCTAGTAGTAGGTTCGGATTCGATTCTTACCATGGTCAACTCCGATGGGCTCTCCGCAAGAGTCGCAGTACTCGGCGAACATGGCGTCGAAACAATGGAGGCAGTAGGGTCTCCCATCGCGCATGATGTAGCGTTGCCCGCCAAGCTGCCGATCACACTCCAGACACGCGAAGTGTTTCATATGCCAGGCCCGTCCCTCTGCTTCCGTGCACTCGTCCGCCAGGATTATCTGCAATCACCACCAATAAATATTACAACACGAAAATCATATCTCTTTGTTCGGACCTCCTCTGCCGTAATAGTGAAGAGAGCAGTAAGTGCAAAAATAAAGTTTTGAGAAAACGGGCTCAGAATCCTCTGACCGGAAAATTTCATTGAGAAAAGCCCCTGTTCTTTGTCAAATTGCTGCTGATCATCCGAAAGACTCCTAGAAATCGTTTGGATGATTACAAATCGACCGATTTTATTTCAATTAAAATTGAAAATGCCTTTTTCTATGCCTAGGTCTGGATACGACTATTCAAGTTCTAAGGATGTCCGTGTTGCATACGCAAAAATTGCAGGCGTTTTAACAGTTTCCTCTTGCATAACGCAACATGAAGCGGAGGTTGTTAGTTTTCAAGAAGTTTCTATGTTGCATTTACAATTGTATTCATCATGAAATCTTAGAAATTCGAATGCACCGTGTTACATCACGGCAGCGTGTATGATAGTGCAAATTTTTCTCAAAAAACATGTCCACAAAGGCACCGCAGATTTCATTCCTACGGCTTACTATACTGATAACATTTTCCTAATCTGCACAATTTTGCAACGCTGTCGATATAAAACACGGCGCATTCGAATTCCAGGTTTTCACGCAAACATGATTGTTAAGGCAACGTAGAAAACCCTTAAGCACTAATAACCGCGGTCAAGCGTTGTGCGTACTTAAAACAGAGCGCCTACAATTTTTCGTGTATGCAACGCGGACATCCTAAGAACACGAATAGTTGTATCCGGACCTAGGCATTGAGAAGCCGAGGCGCCTTCAATTTGTCTTTAATTTTTTATTTTGTTTTGACAAAATGTATCACTCATTGAGTTCATAAGTCGTTGTTGAATAAAGATAGGGCGGTTTGCGAGTCTAATCAAAAGTTTAAAAACAGAAATGAGTAAATAAATATTTGGCAAATACTTGCCTGACTTCATACGGCAATTACACAATTTTTAAACCTACTTCTTAATCTTCTCACTTAATTTACTTGGAAGTCTTTAAAAATCGTATTCTATCAAATGAGTACAATCTTTAGCCTTAACGAGTAGCAGCGTTCAATAAAATTCAATCCACTCGTTCATTCGGTTGAACTGAAATTTTTTTCTTTAATTTTTTTTCTCTATTTTTTTCTAATTGAAAAAATGAAGGAAAATATGTCAGTTGTCTAACCTCATCGCAAGCGGAACAGCGTGGCTTGAGCGTTTCGGCGTGGTGGCGGCCGCAGTAAAGCTTGTTGGCTCGCCAGAAGTAGATCAGGTCGACGAGGAGCTCCTTACAGACGCAACACACAAAACACGCCGGGTGCCAGCACGCATTGGGCCCAGCGCGGGACGCGAAGATCCCCATATCCCCACTTATCATCTGCTCCTCACACTGGAACACAAAAAGAATACACGTAGATTAAAACAATGCTTCTCCATTTTTCATCGTATTGATCGAATACCAACGACATTTCTTCAAAAATAGTTAGTCAGTTAATATATTTAAAGACATTCAGCGTCACAGGCTTTTAACGTCTTTACAAAGAATTTGGAAAATGGGTGTATATACAAGATTACGATTCAAACATTATTTTTCACCTATCATTTTCGTCAAACTTCAGAAAATTCGATCGCAGTTATTATACACAGAGATATCTGCCGTGCTGAGCAAGAACGCCGTATGAGCCATCAGGTGTTGCCAAATTTCCCGCGAAAAATCACGAATTTTCAGGAAAATTTGTGAATATTTCTCTTTAGATTTTTCGGAGAATTTTGTTCGTAATTTGATTTAAAAAGTCTGGACATTTCAATGAAAAATATTCATAACTTTTTTCTAAATTTAATCCTTTCCGAGAGAAAATTTGGCAACATTCGAATACGTGCATGGCGTTTTTATCATCCATCATCAAATATGTTTTGGCTTCATCAAGTTTTGAATTTTGTATTCTCTTTTATGAGTTGTGCGAAATTTAATGGACACATTTTATTGCACTCATTTGGAACAGCAGCTATGACTTTTTTTTAAAAGTCTGCAATAGATAATAACTTCATTTTCTCTTGAAAATAGCTCTGAACTCTGAAATCCTTCATTTACCGCGGAGTAGGGGCTTAAGGGTGAAAGGTATAAGTAACATATACGTTTGAGTGAAAATAAAATAGGGGTTGCGGGTGTCATGATCATTCTAGACTCACAAACGAAGAATGAACAAGAGAAGGACTTGATTAAAGGGAGGATATTTGACACTTTCTAGTCTGAAATGGAAGGAATCGAATCGGTCACGATAAGGTCAGACGAAGAAAAACAATCAAGAGAGTAAAGAATCCGATGCAATAACAAAAGTGTGTTCCCTACCGTTTATTTTGAGAGAAATGAAAATAAGAACAAGTGGAGGGAGAGGCGAAAATCGAAAAGTGCTCTCATGGTCCACCTCAGGCTTGTTTACGTTGGAAATTACCGACTTAACGGTGAAGCGCGAGTGCTTTTTCTGATGTAGCTCTATCAAGGAGTGAAGTTTACGAATAAACATTCTTGTCGATATGAGCATAACTCTTCAAAGAGCATGACACTTCGAAGTAATGTAAGCTAAAATCAAGTATTGGACTCATATTTCAATTATAGACTATTTAATTTTCATATCTAATCAAGTATATAAAGCTATTTCTAATTTATCTATAGTTTTTAGGTTGAGATTTGTCATAAAATATTTCTTATTTCGGCTCTGCGGCTGTGATTTTCGGAGCGACTTTGACAGAGCGTTGCAGCGGAGAAAAATTAAACTTTAAACGGGGGTTTACACGAGGTTAAAATTCCAAATCTTGCTAATTTCTCGGTTAGGCGCATGGCAACGCATAAAAGCACTCGCAATGGGTCAGATTTCACGTTCATTCGCACGATTTCACAAAGACACAAAATTGTCTTTCGATGCTTGATTCTTTCAGATGAGCTGAAGCTAAAAAAAAATTGTCCTTACAGCAACTTTCTACGTTCAATATTTACCGAGATATCGCCCTTCGAAAAGTCGAGTTTTTGACGTCATCCACCGCAGTGGTGACACCCCTGGTTTCTTCCACCTTTGTTTCATCAGTCAGGAGGAGAGACGCACATTTGCATGGTTATTCACTGAGCAACTTGGATGAAACTAAGATGGAAAAAACGAAGGGTGGTGTACCTACCATGGTGGATCACGTCATCAACCGAATTTTTCAAAGAGCGACATCTCGACGGATATTGAACGTAGAGACTTGCTGTTTGGACGGATCTTATTTTTTTAGCTGATCTACAAGAATCAAGCATCAAAACACAGTTCTCCCAGGTAAAAATTGGCGATAGGAGCTGCGTTTCAAAATACCATAGGAGTTCTTATAGCCGACTGAAGAAGGCGATAGAAAATCATATAGCTGGCTGTAGAAAGTGGAGAAAATCATACGGCCGGGCTACACGAAGCGATAAAAAATTATACAGCCGGGCTATAGTTCCTATCGCCGGGCTTTACACTTTATCGCCTGGCCGTTGCTTTTTCGGCATCGGCTATAAAAGGCTATAAGAAATTGTGTAGAAATTCGTGTGTTTTGTAAATTCTTAAGTTTGTACGGAATCACCTTAATATTTACAAAACGCACATTATATTTTCCTTTACTACATATTTTTTTTTCATCAATTAAAATGAGAATAATCCATACAGAGTGTGCAAACATTTCTAAGTCATGAGTTGAAAAACGCTGACTCCACGAGATTAAATATTAGAGCCACAAAGCGGAGCGGCGACGCACTGGTGCCTACAAACCTAACAGGGATACTTCACGCATTGCGCAATGCGTGAAGTATCCCTGTTAGGTTTGTAGGCGCCAATGCGTGTTTCGCGCTGGCTACCCGCCCGCCGCGCCGCGCCGCAGTGTACCACGGCGCTTGAAGCAACTATTTCACACCAGAGGTATTGCACAGTATCATACGAAATTGAAGGCGCTCCAACATATTAGGAATGGCAGGCATCCTTCAAAAGTACGGAGCTTTCCTCGCAAAATAAATCAAGATACTACGGCCAAAAAAGAGAGCGGTAGTCCAAAAACTCACTAAATCCTAGCATCCGTAATTAGTAACGTTTAGCTTACACTTTATCGCCAGGCTGTTGCTTAATCGCTATCGGCTATAAAAGGCTATAAAAAATTGTGGTGCCGGCTATAGAAGCTATTGAAAATCTTACAGCCGGCTGTAGGTCTAGGTAATTTGGAACACAGATTCTACTGCCAATTTTTAGCAGGGCTGTGACCAGCGCAACTCACCCATTCAAGTGGGCTAGGCGCGTTGATCATGAAGACGCCTCTCCGACCAAATTTCGCCGCAGGTTGACCTGATTTTGATTTTGCCGGGAACATGACAATGGTGCAGACGGCGGATCGGGGATCAACATGGAATTAGCGGTTCTATTGAAGTACGAATTCGAATTAGATGCCATACCCGGTCAGCGTTTACAAAACATCCCAAAAGTTGAAAATTCGCACGGGGGCAATTAGAGAAATTAATAGCGCCCCCGCCCCGCCCACCCGAAGAATCCACCCTAGAGCCATGCAAAACGCTGCCTTTGTTCTAGGCCCGAGCGAAGTTCCACGATTATTATGCTGCATGTGCTCCCGGCCTTAATATAACAGGGCTTTCGCGGAACTCAAACAAAGGGAGTTCAATTCACCTGTCACTCCTTTAGCGGAACTTCCACGCTAAACGAAAGAGTTAAACCCATAGATGGGGAGCAAAGGCAACTGATTGTGAGATTGGAAAATTGCGAGGAATTGACCGTACGATGAAGCAAATTCTCGTTCGATCAAGCCAAAATCTGATCGGCTGGTCTAAATTTTCTCCGTATCCTTGTAAAAGAGAAACAGTTGTAGAAAGCTTGCACGGTTTAAAGGGACCAATTAAGTATGAATTTCTATTGCATTTGAAGGCATTTATTAAATTCATTGGCAGAAACTAAGCGAAAGTAATGCATTTTTTTTAGAAAGCTTAGGAATTGAAGGCATTTGTCAAATTCATTGGCAGAAACTAAGCGAAAGTAATGAATTTTTTTTTAGAAAGCTTAGGTATGACTTCAAAAAATATGACCAGTTATTAACTTCAAAGGAATATAGACATCTGGCAATGAATATTTTTCCAAGTTCCGAAATTTTCTTCAATTTTCAATCACCCATATCGACAATGAGCCAGAAAAACAAGTCTCACGACAGTTCGTTATCTTCCGGCCAAAGTACATCACAATTCACAAGTGCTGTACGGTGTTTCAAAATTTCCGTCGCCATTTTATTTTCTTGCAGAGAAATTGTTTCACGAAGCTGTCCGAAAATTTCACTGATTTTTTTTTTTTTTTTTTTTTTTTTTTTTTTTGTGCTGCCGATGAAATTCAGTGAAATTTTCAAACAGTTTCAACCAACAATTTCATTGTAAAGAAATAAAATGACAATGAAAATTTTAAAGCGTCGCATGGCCTTTATGATACTTTGGCCGGATGGTGAGGAGTTAGGATGGGAAGGAAAGCAATTTTTCGTCAAAAATTGAACTGGGTAGAGAATTGAGCGTAGATATTTACGGTTTCCGTTTCGCCGAACGCACAATAGCGCTGCTTGTAAATCCTGTTAATCCCCTTAATTTTTGAGCGGACGTCCGACTTTAAATCAATTAGGTAGTGCATTTCCTCTTCCCTCCCTCAGTCCAGCGTACATTCACCTACGCTATTTTGACAAACATTAAAAAATGTTGTGAGTAGCTCTATAGACGGCTCAAAAAACGAATGTTAAAGAGAGAGGCGAACGGGGTTGCGCTAATGAACGGATTTAAAAACAAAGCTACGTGAATTTTGCAAAAAGCAATGATGACAAAGATGAAAAAAAACACTTCCGCTTTCCGGGCTGAATAAAAATAATTAAACGCAAAAGCGCTGCCTAGGCCATTTGTTTCAAAGGTTCGAGACAATAACGATTTGGAAAAGGACTTGTCCAACATAATTACTGCCAGGCTGTGCTTATGCAGCGACACATTTATAGGTGAAAATTAATGTGGAGTTTGTGGATTTTATCCTTAGGTTGGCAACTCTGCGATCAATCGTGTAGGCTTCACTCGTTTATTCGGAGAGGAGAAGGCTCCGTGTAAGGGGATGATAAATAATGGTGCCTGCAGACTATTAAAAAATCAAGAACAACGATCAATTATTTTTGTGGAGGACTTGACGATCATTACAGTCGCTCGAGTCTGTTTCAAAAATAGGGAGGAGTAGGAAAAAGGAGGGGGGGGGGCTAGAGAGATGAATCAGAGTGGCAAATGCAAGTGACGTAGCGAGGAACTCTAGGATTCGATGAGGGGCGTTTCGACTATTTTCATTCGCGACGTGCCATGGGAAAAGTCGA